TCTCTTTATTTTCTCTTCTTTTTTTTCTTTTATTCTTGCTGTGATTATAGGCAAGCTTTACTGGTGGGTTCTGATGAAATATTTGATCTTATTTCTTAGGTCTACAATGGAATGACACAGCTAGGCTTTGAAAAACTTGATGATCAGTTCAGGTGTGATGTTATTATTATTATTATTTTCTGGGAATCATCAACTCTATTTGGTCATAGATGCTAATCTTTTTTGTGAGACGGTATTCGATTACCAAGTCCTCATAAAGGTTTTATTGTACTTGGAAACTTCTAGGAAACCCATACCTTAGACTGCACACATTATTAGTTATATCCTCTATAGTCTATAGTGAAGGTCTGTCCTAGTTCCTAAGTTAGCAATTAATATATAATGAGTATGATTCACTTGAGCCTAGTTCTGAATACAAGTCGATAAGAAGTAAGTGGCTGACTTATAAGAAAAAATATATGAGACTTTTGTTTGGACAACTTTTTACAGATATTGCTTTTCGGTTAATGAAACGCAAGGAACCTTTTTGTGACCTGCACCTTTTTTTGACCTGCTTTTGGGTCAACAGTAAGTATATGTTGACTAGATGAACTTAAAATAATAGCATTCAGATATCGAGTTGTTACTCTCTTTATCTCCCTCATGTACAATATTGTTGGCAAAGTTTTGGTGATGTTTTGTCTGCATTATTCCTCAATTAAACATATTTCAAATAGTAGTAAATGAAGCTTTCCAGTAAAGTAGTAACAAGTTCTTTATCTCCCTCGTATACAATATTGTTGGTGAAGTTGGAAATGTACGTGTATATTTTGGCTAGGGGTTGACGAAGTTTTGGCGATGTTCTGTCCGCATTATTCATCAATTAAACAGATTTCAAATAGTAATAAATGAAGCTTTCTGGTAAAGTAGTAACAAGTTCTTCAATGGTGTTCTTCAGTAATACTTTGTTTTTTTATGCGTGCTGATCATTTGGGTGGAGGAGCCTTGATGAAGTATGATCCTTTATTCATGTTCTTTAAGTTTATAGGCCTATCAGTCTTGGCTCTTAGAATTTTTCATTGTCACCAATACATCTTGGCTTTTATACATTCTGCAGTTTTGGAGTTGAACAGACGTCCGTTGCTCTTTATCTTACTGCAATTTCTTCTCTTTCTGGCCTTGTTGGAAAACCAAATTTTAAGGTAAAAGTTCGCTTTTATTTACTCTTTGTTGGGTGGTAAACCTTTTCTATGTTTCATAATTTTCATTTTACAGGTTAACCCAAAGGATGGGTTAGAAGTGAAGTTGTCAGGCTCGGGAGCAAGTGGCAGTGCCCCTACCACTTTGTCTCCTTCAATTCTCATAGTAAATTGGAGATGTATGGTCATGCTTTAACACTTTCCTTTTTCTTTTTCTGATGTCATTATAAGTTTTCTTATGCTTCTCCTGGCTTTGTCTGTAGGTGAGAAAGCTCGGAAAACACCATACGCAGTTAACATTTCCATTCCGGTGGAGGGTTATAATCCAATTGAGTTCATCCTAACAAAGTCATGTGGTTAGTACTTGGTAATAAATGAATTATTTATACATTCTTATGAGGAAATGATGGGAAATTATGATTATTATTATAAATGGAATTTCTCATATATTGAGAGCATACTCCCCGTGCCCACCTCTTCTTCCTATCTCCCTCTTATGTCTTTTCTCTATTATTAACAATGTCGAGGTTATTTTGGTTTTCTGTTGTCATGTGATTTGTTTGCTCGCAAATAAGTTCGCGTCAACATCTAAATGGTCTACTAACTCATACGGGACTTCTTTCTTGAAGCTTATAGGCAAGGGCAAGAGAACGATGCTATAAGAGGATGGGCTACATTCGGAATATTTTCTTGCGTGTATGGTGATTTCAGCAACCAACACTTGATTCATAAATTGTTTATACATAATATGATAAAACTTAGCAATGGCATCTCAAATCTGATGCTGGGATTTATGTCTAATTGTGTTATTAACATAATGTCGTCTCATGCAGTGCCATAGTATTATCAACAATATCCTGCTGCGGAGGATTTATATACAAGACCCGTGTAGAAAATCAGGTTGGTTGTCTTTCTATTTTTTTTTTAAAAATTTTACTCTCTGGCATATGAAATAGCTGATTACTTTTTATGCAGCGTGGACTCGATGCTCTGCCTGGAATGACGATTTTGGGTGCATGTTTGGAAGCTGTAAGTTCACTAGAATTTTTTCTGTTAACAAGAACTCTTACTGCTACGATTTTATGATTTTTTTATCTCTAAAATTATAATATTTAGGTAAGCGGGCCTCGACGCTACCCTCTAGGCGATGATATCAGTGCCAATTTCGTAGACCAAGCATCATGGGATCGATCAACTTCAGGACAAGGAACACAGAGAACTGCTGAAAGGAGATACGGTTCGATCTGAGGAATTATATATGCACATCAAATTTCATGGTCTGAATCCTACAATGCTCAAATCTTGAGACATGAAGTTGCATTCTATGATTTAATTTCAGTAAAGAGTTACTTATAAGAAAGTAGCGCCTAATGTTCCTGTAATTAGTACTCTGGTACTACTTTCATTCTCTTCTTTTTGTTGCTTTGCCCATTCCATTGTATTTTTCACATTATATAACTTGTCTCTTGGCGGTAAGCGCATTAGAATAGAAGACAACGAAATTGAAATCAGCAGCAGTTACCAAATTGATTGTAGAGCATAGTGACAAAACTAGGAACAAGGCTTGATGTGAGTTTTCCCCCGCCCATGAGATATCCCCATGCCTTACTGTAGTAGATGAGACTAACCTGCGCTTGCGCTTCGTGGCTAGCGCTGGCCTGAGAGTTTTTTTACCTGCTTTGGATTCGAACACTGGACTATTTCGCTCTGGATCGTCTCCCAACAGAAGCGTAGAGAGGCATTACGCTGCTGTGGCAACTCTGCGGGCTGGCTATATGTGATTTTGACATTACCCAGAGATATGGATAGGGATTAGGATGCTTCCTTTCATTGTTGATCCTATCACCGTCGCATAGTTCATATATATGTGATGTCATTCTATTGTTATACTGTATTGGATTCCTCCGATGTCAATATCTTGGAGAGCTAAAATTGGGGGAGCCCTTATGTATCAGATAATTGATGCCTGAAAGACTGTCCAAATTGAAGAATACAGGTACCTTTAGTAACAAGGATAAATTTTTATCTTTGATAGTGATATGCTTGCTATTTATCCACTCATTTAACGAGTGAGTAATTGAGGGAAGATCATCTTCAAGTGGTCAACTTTAATAGATAGATGAGAAGTGATTATGTCACTATTAAGCATTAATTTTGTTTTTGATAGCAGGAAAGAGTACTTAATTTTCCTTGCCAGATATTATGTTTTGCATTACCTTGAACATAATAATAAACAAGATAGCTTCTTGATAAAAGTTGTCTCTTGAAGGTCACTCAGTTATCCAATTTCTGCCCAAACTGATGGCTTTATGTATGCTAGGTGGGATTCACGTGCATTGCACGTAATCAAATAATGTCTCTACTGTAACTCATTTGTAAAATAGTTCATGGTTACCATATGATTTATTGCACGAAATAAATTCATGTTGATAAACATCTATTTGATGATGATAATATTTTATAGACTAATACTTAACTTGATAACGCATTAAATTTAGTTATGCCTTACAAAATGTAGAACTTTGATCTAACAAACATATCCAAAATTTTAACTTATAATTTTAGAGCTTTGATCTAACAAACATATCAAAGAACTTTTATCTTATATAGCAAATGCTTAACAACTAATTTTGGTACTTTCTGATTTTAAGGCCAGAGTTTAAAATTTTCTTTCTAGGAGCTTGTTTGTAATTTTTAATTTTCAGGCAGCTATTTGTAATTTTTATTGTTTGATAAGGCCATCTATAATTTTTATATTTTCTTAAGGGTTTTCCCAATTTTCAAACTTTGTAATTTCAGATTGTGCAATGGAAAAAATAAAAATTTTAGATTTTCGAGATTTTTTTAATAATTTTTAATTTTGGTATGTTTTTTATATTTTTAAAGACTTTTTAGAGATTAATTGTTATTTTTGAATAATCAATGGTTCTTTATAGTTTTAGATTATTTAGAGGGCTGATTGAAGAATTTTTATTTTCTGGATGTTTTTTGTTTTCACTTTTTCCAGGATGTTTTCTGCAACTTAAGATTTTGAAATGCTTGTTTTTAATTTTTTAAAATTTTAGGGTGTTGTATGTAATTACAGATTGTTCATGGTATTGTTCAAAATTTTCTAATTTTTAGGTATTTATTGGTAAATTTTAGATAGTTTGAGGTATTTTTAATAATTTTTAGATTTTTAAGAGGATTATTTGTATTTTAATTTTTTTTAAAGGTATTGTATATAATTTCAAGTTGTTTAGGGGATTATTTAAATTTTTTATATTTTTAGGGTGAGTTTTATAATTTTTAAAAATTTTCGAGGTTAGTAATTTTTAAATTTCATGTTTTTGTCTGTGATTTCATATCATTCATAAGGTTGTGTAAAAAATTTATATTTTAAAGGTTTTTTTTATGAATATGCACATAAACTCTTATTTATCAGCTTTGTAGAGCATACATCTTTCAGTCTCACCTGAGCTCAGAACCCATTCGATATAAGTTTTAAATTCATCTTGTCAATATATTTCTCAAGCACCTTTTAACTTAAAGTTTAGTCAATGGGTTTGCCACCTTATCGGCAAATGCAATTTTAAGAATGTTTGTATTTCCTTCTTACCATTTTTTCTTACCAAGTTATACTTTCATTCAATGTGTTTTGATCTATGATGAGCCCTAAGCACTCTAGCTTGGGCAACCAACTGTTATCAAAATGAAAAGTAATGGGAGATTCGATAGTCAGAAAAACACCTAACTCTTGCATGGATTTTTTTAATCCAAATTACTTCTTTTGCTGCTTCACAAGCTAACTCTTGCATGAAAAAACACCTAACTCTTGCATGAATTTTTTAATCCAAATGACTTCTTTTGCTGCTTCACAAGCTGCAATATACACCGCTTTAGTTGTAGAATTGGCTATAGTTTCTTACTTACAACTATTTTAACTAATAGCTTCATTATTTAACGCAAAAAAAACCCTGATGTAGATTTTCTATCGTTAAGATCCCATTGGAAATTAGAATTAGTGTGTCCTTAAACTTTTAAAGGATCACCACCAAACATTAAACAATTATGTTTTGCTTATTTAAGATATTTATAACTCCATGATTAGATTAATATCTACTAACTTCACTTACTTCTTGAGCAATATCTAGCTTGGTACACAACATTGCGTATATAACACTACCTACGACAAAAGCATATGTGCATTGCTTTATTCTTTCTAATGCCTTATCTGTATGAGGTGATATTTTCTTTGAAAGAGCGACTTCATGTTGCAAGGAATAAGTTTCTTCTTTGAAGCTTGCAAGTTAAACTCGGTCACTATCTTATTAATGTAGACCGGGAAAATGATATTAACAATTAGCGCTAACCCTATAGAGTTTAAGTCCTAAATTATATGATACCTCACCCAAATCTTTCAAGAGAATTTGTTAGACATCCATAATTTAATGGTTGATGATATTCCAACTTTATTCAAATATTTTAGAGGTATTTCATATAAAAGTTAGTTTTTTTAGTTAGAAGTATTTGATAAATCTTTCACAAATAATTTATTAGACAACTATAATATTTGTATTTGTCAAAGACTTTTCAAAAGGTTGTTTGTAAAATTTGAATATTTGGTGGTAGTTTCAAATAGTTCAAAGGGGTGATTGAAGATTTCATATTTTCAGGACATTTTTTTTATTTTTTGCTTTTTTGAGTTGTTTTCTGTTATTTCAAAATTTGGAAGTCCATAAATTTTAAATTTTAGGGTGTTGTATGTAATTATAAATTATTTTTGGAACTGTTCAAATTGTTTTGATTTTCAAGGTTTTTTTGTAATTTTTGAATTTTTCTAAGGTATTTTATATAAAATGAAGCTTTTTCAAGGATGTCATTTGTAATTTTTTATTTTCAAGGTGTTATCTATATTTTCTATTTGTTTTGGGGACTGTTCAAAATTTTTCATATTTTAGGCTATTTTTCATAATTTATAAAATTTTTGGTGATGAAATTGTTAGTAACTTTTAAAGTTTAGGGTTCTGCCTGTAATTTCGTATTCTTCAGGAGGTTGCTCAAAATTTTCAAATATTCAGGGTTTTTTTATTTTTAGATTTTAGGAGGTGTTTTTTTAATTTTTAGGCTTTTCATGGGGTCCTCATCTTTGTGATATTTAGAATTTTTAAATAGCGATTTGTAATTTGTAGTTGTATAAGAGACTGTTTACAATTTTTGTAGTTATAATGACTTTTTGAATTTTTTGATTTCTTTGTTTGTAATTTTTTGATTTAAGGGTAGTTTGTTTAAATTTTAGATTTTTAAGAACATTGTTTATAACTTTTGGATTGTCAAGAATATATTAAAGATATTTCTATCAATTAGGATAGGATCACAAATAATGTGTAATAGATCTATTTAAAGAGTTCTATTAACTAGGATAGGATATAATTTGATATTTAGAAAAATCAAGGGCAATATTGTCTAATGAAAGTTTTTCTCAAACGCTCACTTGTAAGTTTTTCTCAAACTCCCACTTTTAAGGGGAGTAGGTTTATCACATTTGATCTCTAAAAAGCTCATTAGGCTACTCCACGAATGCCTTTATTGAAGTTAATTTCCATCAATTACCCACCATAAGCAACACTTGATATAATTATCCAAAGAATAAACCAAATAATCTGAATTAATACAATAGAGCACAAAAGGTGTAGAAGTAAATTGACCTAGTGAATGCTTAAATTATCTTGATTTTATTACTTATAACAGTTATTATTGACTCAGAGAGGCATTGCTTCTTGTTGTTTTTTTTTTGTGTGTGCCTGTCATGTCTAATTATTGAGGGCTGATGAGACAAAGACCAAGGTCTAAATCTAATAATTTATGGAAGTTTAGAAGAGAAGGAAACCTATTAACCAATAAGTACCAACAAAAACATAGATACGTACTACATGAAAAATACCATTAACCTAGCGAGACTTAATCATGTTATATAAAACACAGATTTTTGTATAACCACTCTTTAACTCTGTTATGCTATATATACATGCTTGTGATCACATGTGAAATTTATTGGATATTTACTATACTTCGATTTTAAAAGCAAAAGCTGCAAAACCTCAAATTTAATATTTATACTACAGTAAATAATATTCTTGCTACGAATATGATTTAGTAAAATTTTTAGCCACCGCTGTAATGCTTTTCCCCCTTGAATACTGTTCATGTACAGTGTAATTTTTTCCTCTTGAACGTGTTAGATATGTTACAGTGACATTTTTGGCCTTTTACCCACAGTTTTTACGTTCAAACTAAAGCAATATTTTTCAACATATATTGAAAACAATGTTTAAATCTTTTTTTTTCCGTTCTTGCAAATGATGAAAATAACCTTTGCCCGACATTTCACAAATATAAATCTTGTCCAGCTTTATTATAGAAAATTAATAAAACTTGTTATTTGGTGTATTAATTCATTAACCGGTTCGAAAATTCACTCTATAAATAATAGTAAAATAATTATCGCCGAAGTTTTTATAAATAGTTATAT